GGCAGGGTAGTTTTTGCTTGATGAAACACGGATTGGCTGCAGGGAGCTAGAGATGAAGTGGTAAGGTAGCTTACATTTTCTCAGACAGAGCTTTAAAATTCTTGTTGAATTTCTGTCAGTTATCAGATGCTAGTTGTAACAAGAAAGGTAGATGTGCAAAAGGTACACAAAGATGTCCAAGGATTCATAAATCACATTTTAAATACTCTTCCTCACTCAAGAAAGATGCTCTCCATATAGGTATACAAACGAGCACGTTCTGTCTCTCTGTCTCAGAGTATCTCTCCCTCTCTCTCTCTCCCTCTTCTGTTTCTCTCACATGGCTTTCATTTGTTTGTTGCTTTACAGGAGTAGAGCAATAGTATACATGCTAATGTAACCCTTTCCCTATAACAACTCTGTGTTTGCATTCCTCTTAGTTGATAGTGATAATCAGAACCCCTGCTTATAAATAGTGGGTTTGAACAGGTGTCTTGGCATTTCTTTACTACTTTTCTTATTAACACCATTCCAAAGTTCTGTAGGTTGTGTTTGTTAAAAAGGGTTTTTGTTTGTTTTGTTTTTGTTTTGTTTTGTTTTTTGGTTTTTCGACACAGGGTTTCTCTGTGTAGCTTTGGAGCCTATCCTGGCACTCGCTCTGGAGACCAGGTTAGCCTTGAACTCACGTTAAAAAGGTTTGAATAAGCTGGGCGTTGGTGGCGCACACCTTTAATCCCAGCACTCGAAGGCAGAGTTCGAGGCCAGCCTGGTCTACAGAGCGAGTTCCAGGACAATCTCCAAAGCAATATAGAAGACAAAGAAAAACAGGTTTGAATAAATAATTGTATATACAAATATTTTGAAATTGATTCGTCTTCATATTCATTTATGTCTATGCTGTACATTTCTCCAGTTCAGCTTATGAATTATCTCACATAACTGCCCCTAATGTGAACCTTGTTAGTGGAAGCCATGGCTTTAAATACCTTCACCTGTAGCTATGTTCATCTGTGAATATTTGTATGATGACCAGTTTGTCTTGATCAAGACAGGACAGGATGCACAGACGTACCATGTACGCTCATCATTTGACTCCTTTTCTTTAAATAACTATTAACATTCCCAGTTTTTTACCTAAGTCATGAATATACAGGAAAGCTTCTTTACCATCGCTTTGCATTGCACTGATCACGGTGTTGGCCGGCTGCTCTTTGAAAAGGAACACACTGTCCCTCCTTTATCTTGTGCTTCTTTGATTACTTTGTTACTAGAATTCTATTTTCCCCCTAGGTAAGATCTTCTGATTCCTGTCTGTGTTCTGATTTATTTCAAAGCGAGTATGGGCTTATTTTAGTGGTTTATAGGCATGTTTTAGTGCAACTGGAACAACTGATGCCCAAGCATCTACATGTTCTGGGTCTAAGGCATTGTAGTAAAACATTCCAGAGGATGAAGATATCAGACAGGAAACCCTGCTTAGGGCCTGATTGTAGGCAGTGTACACTGCTTTGTAATGAATATGTCACTAAAAGATGCTGCTGTGATGTTTTGATTGTAGTGAATTGGGTTCTTTTTCCATGAACTCACCCTCTTTGTGAGCGGAAAGTTTAAGAACATATTCAGGATAAAGCAAACAGTATCACAAACACTTTATATACAGTTTCTCTTCTCTGATAGGTTCATGGCCTAGTAAAGCTAGTACTTCCTGATAACAAATAACAACTCTGAACTGGATTCTGCCAGAAACTGCAAAATCAGAGCAGGCAGCCTGCGAAGGCAAGCTAGACATGGCTGATGCAGTGAGTCTGTGTGTGCTGAGTCTCTCACTTTTAGTTTTTCCCACATGATGCAAAGGGAAAATGATAAATTTCCCAGCGGAATTCATGGAGGCCATACAACAATGGATGAAAAAAAATTAATTTCCAGCCTCAAATTATTTTCTTCTTCCTTTTCTATTTTCTCCTACTCTTTTTCTTCCTCTACCTTCTCTTTCTCCTCCTCACTCCTCCTCTTCTGATTCCTCCTCCTCCTCTTCTGGGTCTCACTATGTGGCATCGGGTGGCCAATAACTCTGTTATTGGCCTTGATGATAATAACTTGATGTTCTTAAACTCAGAGATCCTCCTGTCTCTGCATCTCCAGTGCAGGGAATAGAGGCATGCAGTACCTCCCTCAAGTATTAATTTAGGGAAAATATATTCTAGGAAAAAATATAGAAATTTCATATGAAAGGAAGTGTAACAAGCTCCAATAAACTTGTTGTAAAAGAATGCTAAGTGATGTTATTATAGCTAAAGGCAATTTCAGGAGAAAAATCTGAATATTCAAAAATAATGAGAGATGTTTTAAAGAAATGAATAGACACAGAGATATTTTTACTGAAATTCTTTCTAAATGAATTATTAATTCCTAGAATTAATATATAAATAATTAATAAGTTACAAATTATATATAAAACATAATTATACATTAGTGTATATATAATTATATATAAAGCATATTAATTAATTTGTATAAATAACTTAAATTCCATATAAAGACTAAAAATAAAAATCATGGTATTGTTTGATGAGGTGTTGAGTGTAAAAGTTGCAATATTTATGACCACTACAACATAAAGTTGCAAAAGTTGGCCTTTCAGTTTGAATTCATACAGTGTTGATCTCCATTATGGTGCAAAATAAAGGTCTGTATATTGCAAAACATCTAGTTAGAGTGAAAAGGAAGAAGTAAAACTACCTTTGGGTACGTTACTTATTTAACTGTGTGTGTAGAAATTTGTATAGTATTTACCATAAAAAATTTTAGAGTTAACACACAATTTTATCAGGGTTGAAACACTGAAATCATTTGTATATGTATGCATCCATGATTACAAATCAATTTTTAAAATATCCCCTGCAATTAAAGGGTTTGTTTGCCCCAAAATACCCAGTAAAAATAACAGTGAGAAAGCAGATGTTGAAGAACATACAGACATATGATGTTCACGGGTAGGGCACTCACTACTAATAGAGATGTCAGGTTTCTATCATACTGTCTTGTAGCTAGAAACAGAACAGTTCCACCAAAACCCCAACAGATTCTTTTCTGTAGAATTTGATAAGCAATGACTATAATTTATATCTAAAAGCGAAGGAACTAGAACTTCAAAAAAAATTGGGGAAAGAGTTGGGGACTACACATTCTTGTTTTTAAGGCATTTCCTAAAGAAATGCAATGGTATTGTTGCTGAACAGACATGAAGGTTAATTAATGGAATCAAGGGTTTAGAAAAAGATGCACACATACATTTTCAAATTGTACTTAATAAAAGTGAAGAAGAAACTAAATGGAGAAAGCATAATTTTTCAACTACTAATGGCAGAACAACTTGACATCAGTGTGAAATTAAGCCTGTGCTCATACCTCATATTTTAGAAAAAAAAGAAGCAAGGCAACCAAAAAATCTAAAATAAAATATAAAAGATTTATGATCTTGGATATTACAAAGGATTCTTAGATGTCATATCAAGTCACCACATGTAAAAGGCAAATACTAAGTTTATGAAACTAAAACATGCCTATTCCATGGGAGTCACTTAGAAGTGCTTAAAAAAAAAAAGAGTGGGAGAAAATACTTGCAAAAACATATATAAGAACTTCTATCAAAAATATGCTAGGAATTTATAAGATATTATACAAAATTATGTTCAATAGGCAAAGATTTCACCAAGGATGATACAGGCTAATATGAGCCAGGCACCATGGCTCACCACCAGCACTTAGAAGGCTGAGGCAGGAGAACTGCTGTTAGTTTGAGAACAGCCTTGGCTTCAAAGTAAATTCCAGGAGACACTGGCCTACAGAATGAGACTGTATCTCAAAACATCAAAAGAAAGTTGAATTTAAAAAAATATGATATCATGCAATTATGGTCTATATCAATAATCATTAGAGAAATGTCAGTTGAATTCACAAAGGTAGGACTCTGTCTAGAAAGAGTAAAAAGGATTAAAAAATAGCAAGTGTGGAGCAAAATGTCATCATTTATGAAATTGTATAGACTCATATTAACTTGGAAAACATTTGGACAAATTTATATGAAGTTAAAAATACACGTATCATGCACCCTAACAATTCCATTCCTAGGAAAGTACTTTGAAAAAGAAATTTAGTGCAGAACATCTTAGAAATGTTTATAAAAACTATGAATAATTATTAAAATGGGAAATAATTACATGACTGTCAATGAATAATGGATTAATAAACCATTCCATTTCATCAGTAAAGTGTTTCCTGGTTAGTAAAAGAAATGCTGGCGTGATATGCATGAATTGTGATCAATCTCTAATGCATTATACTACATAAAATAATTTCCCTCAAAATCTACATGGTGTCTGAACCTATTTGTTTGACATCCTGAAAATGTAAAACAGGGGCAGAAAGCAAGTCAGTCACAGGCTAGCTGTGGGAAGAACAGATAGCGACAGGCATCTGTGAATCTGGGGAATAGTGGAACTGTTCTATATCTGAACAGCAGCATGTTTCCCAAAATGCAAATAAATAAATAAAGTAGTGAGTTTACAAGCATTCATTTGCACAAGAAATATCTTTAATGTGTAATAATTTGAAAAATCTTGAACTGAAAGCCTGGAGCTAACAAAAATTTAAGAAGAATGTGTGAAAATGTAAAAAAGTATCCCGATAATAGTCTATTGTTTAGTAACATAAAATATAGACTAATCAAGTTTTTATTTAAAACTTTCCCATGTTTGCATGCACAAACACTTTCAGATCATACATAGTTCTATTTTTTTAATCAAGAAAAATGAAAACAAATAGAATGGTGTGTTACCAATTTAAGACTATATACAACTGGCTGCAGTAATAATATACTGATATAATAATTTCATACCTTCCTCCCAATACTTTTGCAGGGAAGTTAAATATTTTACTTAAGATACATAAGATAGATGCACATGACTCCAATCATCTCTGTGTGAAAAGTTTGTCCCCTGTCTGCAAATTACATATGGCCATAACCAGTCATTCTGGCAGTTCCCATATGTTTTTCAGAATATATTGTGTACATGGAACAAAGCAGTGGCTCTCAATCTTCCTAACTTGAGACCCTTTGATACAGTTCCTAATGTTGTGACCCTCCCCCATCACAAAATTGTTTTATTGCTACTTCACAATCGTAATTTTGCTAGTGTTACGAATCATAATGTAAATATCTGTATTTTCTGATGGTCTTAGGCAAACCCTGTCAAAGAATTATTCAACCCAAGGGGTCACAACCCACAAGTTGAGAACCACTGGTTGATTATTCTGGTCAGTTGTAGGCAGTTGTTGGTTGCATCTTTGAGGAGTCAGGAGTTGCACTGTTTTTCATGGTGCACAGAGTCACTGCTCCTAACCTCAGCATTACACATGGCTTAACTGTTCTTTCATTACATGTTTGTTATATCTCGGTCAAAACAAAACAAAAATTCTAGAAATAGCAAAAGGAAAATGTTTTTTAGTAACTATGAAATATTGCCACTAAACGAAATATATTAATAATATCAAGACCTGATATATAGCATTTTATGGAATTCTATAAGATAAAAAATATCCCTATAGTTTGGGGTAGGAATTTTTGGCATTTAGTTCACAGATGCCAAATAAATGTGATATAAGGCCATATGTCTGCCTCTTAAAAATATGAGCTTTGTGTGGTCCAAGCAGGAAGTGAGATGGCCGCCTTGACAGCTGCTCTCATTTGCTCAGTTTTCATTGTTCAGATGTACATGGAGAATCAATCTTTCCTTTTGCCAGAAGCAGGAAAATGCTTTAATTGCATTTAATGGCTAATTTAAAGAATGCTTTTAAAACTACAAACAACAAGCAAAGTTACGCTGTTGCTTTTACAATATGAACCAATAGAAGATTTTACTTGAAACTACACTTATGAAATTTCATTGACAAATTAAATTTTAAAAGAAACTGATGAAACATAAATAATTGCTGAAAAAAACATTAAATACATACAAAGTGCCCTCCTTTTAAATCTGAAAGATAGAAGCATTGGTGTTTTAAAAGCAAGGGAGAGAGGAGAAGGAAGAGGAGAGAAAGGGGGGGCCATTGAAATAAACGCCATCAAGAAGAGACAGTCCCTAAATTTAGATTTATGCAAGTTTACCTCTTGCTGGTTTTCCTAAACTTCCTGTGTTACTGACCCACTGTTATTCAGGTTCTCATTCCATGTAAACACATACCAGGTAACCCCAAATTTTATCATATATATTGTATTTTTCTGTTAAATCATCCTTTAAGAGTCTTTAATGACATCTCAGAGACTGTATTAAAAACAATACATGGCAATGCACTAAGCTACTTCTTTTCTGAACACATTCTTTAGGGTATAATGTGGTTAAATAATTTTTTCCTGTCACAGAGTTGTGCTATTCATTCCTGGTTGTGTTGTTAAAAATTTCATAACTAATTTCAAATTAATATAGATCTAGTTACATTGGGAGTCTATTTGTCCATTAGTAAGCCATTTTCAAAGAGTTATAAAAAAACATCTAGGATAGTATTAAGTTCTGTGCTAATTGAGCTAGTTTGGGAGATTTCTCTAAAAACTGAATTTACTGTTAAAATTATTTTCTTTGTGACTCTAAAGCCTATATTTGCTATCTTTGTTTCTGTACAACATTTCAGTTGAGAAAATGGAACATGCCTATAAAATATTTAAAAATATGAGGAGGCAACTATGAACGTGATCTGCCATAGATTGGAGCCGACAGAGAAAGCTTGTTGATCCAAAATACCTTTATTCAGATAAATACCAGCAAAGCACAAGCCAGAGCGTGCCCAGAGGCAGCAAGCCAGAGAGGCCAGAGTGAGGGGCTCCCACTTGTCAGCAGCACCTTAAGAACCCCCCACTCGTCATCCTGAACACCCCTTGACCACGCCCTGACAGGTGTGGTTATAGCCACGCCTATAGCCAGCCCTTAGGAAGCGTGGTTATGGTGTCTCCCTGCAATAGATGTTTTGTGCTGTGTGGCTGTTGTAATGTATCTAAGTAGGGGAATCAACATACATGTAAGCAAATAAATAAGCAACTTACCAATACCATATTAATTACAGAGGTTTGTTCTTATTCAGCACTATTGGTTACATAGACCTGGCTAGCTCAGGTGTCACTCAAGTAAGTGGGAAAGATGGAATGTCCCAGTCCTCAAACACTTTGAAAGTCCTCACACAGAAATGACAGTCTGAAGGCTTCTTTTTACTAGAAGCAAAAAGATTCCACATTAGAAACACTATAGTGTTTTCTGTTGCTATGATAAAACATCTCGGTTAAGATAACTCATAGAAGAAAATTTTGGCCTATGGTACCAAAAAGATTTGAGTCCATCTTCATGGGGAGGTGTAGCAATGACTGACAGGCATGGTGAAAGGAGCAGGAAGCTGAGGGCTCACATCCTTAACAAAGAGTGAACTGCAGAGGCCTTTTACTCCCCAGTGATGGTGGCATGCTTCCTTCAGCAAGGCCATGCCATCTAAACCTCTAGAAACAACGCCACCAACTGGGGACCAAATGTTAAAATGCCCAAGATTATGGTGGAAATTTCTCATTAGACCATTACATCATACCTCAGATTTAGCTCTCTCATTCGTCTTAAGTAGATAGTCATGTTCTTAAAGCCGTACAAGTAGTGAAAAATACTAACAAATTAAATGTCAAAACAAACATGATGGGCTTTAGGTGGCATGGTTCCTTGTTAAGTAGAAGGATGGGTGTCATCATTAAATGCCCTAATAGCCTTTTTCTTATCACGACTGAGATGTTTCAAGCTAGTGACAAGTTGAACATACCATGCAGGTGCAGAGCCAGGTGCACCATCCTCATGACTGGTGAAGCAATGGGATTCTGCCTTCAGTTTGACTAGAGAGGGATGTCCTCCAACTACAAATATTTGGGGGGGGCGGGGGAGGGGAAGCAAATGCCACTAGAGTTTTGAACGTTTGAGGGGAAGGAGAGACTCGTGTGTGACTTTGCTTGTCCTCCTCTGTTACGATAAATCTTTCCGCCAAAGGCTGCCAGAGCCCCACCGCTATGTGTGTACTTTACGCCAGCAGCCCGCCTGAGTTAGGGCCCAAATGAATACACAGAAACTTGTATTATGTTCAAATGCTGCTTGGCCAATGACTAGGATTCCTCTTCTTCTAGTTAGTCTTAATTATCATAAACCTATATATTTTATAAGACTTATCTTATAGAGGATGCCTTTTGCTGGCACCCTCTCTTGCCGGTGGCTCACATGGTGCCACTGGAGGAGGAAGAGGAAAAAAGGGACACTTCCTGTTTCCTTTGCTAAAATATGAGTCTCCTTGCTATGTCACTTCCTGCCTGGATCACCACTTCTTTACTACATTTCCCAGAATCCTCTTTGACTCCTAGTCCTGTCTAACTTGCTGTCTCATTGGCCAAATAGTATTTTATTCAATAATCAACAAGATAAACATACACAGAACATTCCCCATCACTCCTCATCAAAGGCCACGAAGCTACAGCACAATGGTTCTGGGTTGCCCCTTAAACAAACCACAGAGGCCAGCTCTGCATCTGTCCAAGGACAAGAAAGGAGCCAGGATACTATCCACACATACTTTCCCTCATTTTCCCTTCCTTCCTTCCCTCCCTCCTTCCTTCCTTCCTTCCTTCCTTCCTTCCTTCCTTCCTTTCTCCCTCCCTCCCTCCCTCCCTCCCTCCCTTTCTTTCTCTCTCCCTTCCTCCCTTCTTTCCTCCTGTGACACATGCTATGAAAGTTCTGTATCAGTGACACACGTCCTCATTGCTTCTAATATTTTTCTTTTTAGGCAAGGCAAAGATGCTCAGGATGACCTTGAACTGGGTGTTGCCCAGGGAGTTTCTGAATACAGGTTCCTCCTGCCTCCACTCCCCCCCGGCATCTGAGATTATCTCCATCCATGCTGTCCATTCACTGCTTATTCTGAAAGTAGAGAGGAAGAGAGTCTCTTGGCAGAGAGGAAAATGTTCATGTTGGTTGAGTGGTACTCATTCTTGGGGAAGCAGACACTTAAGCTTACAGCTGTTAATTTTCTCTTGTGACAATATACCTGACAGAAGTAAAGAACAAAACAACAACAGCAAAAGACAAGAAAACAGTATTTTGGTCCAAGTTTTAAAGGGAACATTATGGGGGAATTGTGGCTTCTTGTCAAATTTCATGGTTTGGACACTCTCTATATTTCCATCATAAAAATACAGTCATAGTATATCCAACTCTTTAGCTATAGCTTGTTTCTTGACAGGTACGGTGTAGAGATACTGAATCTGCATTTTTCCAGGAAACCTAGGCCTTCGTCATTTTATTTAATATAATTTCTATTTGTGTATGTGGTCTATATGTGTGTTGCAAGTGTGTGTGTGTGTGTGTGTGTGTGTGTGTGTGTGTGTGTGAGAGAGAGAGTCCAGAAGAGGACTTCAGGTGTTGTAGGCTATCATTATACCTTATTTCCTTTGAGATGATCTCTCTCATTGAGCCTAGAGCTAGGCTGGTGGCCATCAAGGCCCAGTCACCCTCCTTTTTCTTTACTTGACAGTACAGCAGTTTGTAGGCATACACAATTAAGTCTGGCTTCTATATGGGTGCTGAGGATTCAAACCCAGGTTCTCATGATGGTGCAGCAAGCACTATAACCCAATGAGGCAACCCCACAGCCAGTTAACTATATTTTAAGCTATAGGATTCTTCTCACAGTGCCTAAATCTGTGATGTTTAACGAAAGCCTATCACCGACTTTGTCTTCAAAGGATACACATTTTATCTTTTTATTATGAGTTTTTAAAAGCTTTGTGAATAAGTAAAGTGTGTGTGTGTGTGTGAGAGAGAGAGAGAGAGAGAGAGAGAGAGAGAGAGAGAGAGAGAGAGACAGAGAGAGAGACAGAGAGAGAGAATGAGTGAGAGAAACAAAGGGGATAGGTTAGGATGGGTGAGTGTTGTGTGTGTGTGTGTGTTGTCGGTCTGCTTGTATCTTGGTATCTATGCATCTCAGACATACGTGGGAGAGGAGAGGAAATTGTATGCTTGAGATGAGCAATATAATTTATGACCAATTTAAAACTACAATAGTAGTCCTCTGACTGCAGAGGTCATATCTTTGAAAATTCTTTAGAAAATTTACGGCTGAGAAAAATAGAAGGGAGTAACTGAAATTAGACATTAACCAAATAAAGTTTTATGGTATTCAGTTCACAATACAAAGCAGGAAAGAAGCCATTATCACCAAGGACAAGGTCAATGATGATTAATGAACCAAGTCACAGTTTCTTTTGTGCTATTATTCTCTATTTATCATCTAAGTCACTATTTAGGCTCCCTGTCTTCACTGTAGTCTCAACAAGAAGCATGCCCAGCTGTTGGATCAAGTTAAGGATTAGGCACAAGTTAACATAATTTTTATAGAGTCGGATTCCCGGGGGGTCCAGAGTGGGATCAGTAAGGCAGACAGAACACGGGAATCTAAGCAGTGATTTCAAATCATTCATGTTCTTCATGTGTTTTACTTACAATCTGGAAAGAAGGCACAGAATCTATTACAATCACTTCTCTTCAGCTCCTCCATGTGACAATGTCTATGTCCCTCGACAAGCTTCCTGCAAAAAGTTTTCATGCAAGTTTCAGTTTTTAAATCACCCTCTGGTCCTCAAATTCTTCACCTCAGGCCCCATCCCTCCTTCTAATAATGCATCATAAAAACTGCTGAATAAGTCAGAAGCTTTTTTGAGGTCAATAGAAGGAGGGAAGTTAATTTGAAAAGACAGAATCCACTTCAGTGGCCAATGAAGAGAAGAAAGGTATATACCATCATTGTTGACAAATGAGATGGCTACAGACGTCATTTGAACATCGAGAGGTGCTGATGCTACAAACCAGTCCATTCTTCCTTAACTCTAGGGCCACGTATTTCCAGTCCAAATCCTTTGGCTGTTTGTTTTCATGACTCAGCTCTCTTGTGCCCCTTTTTGAGATTGTGTTTTCTCCTTTTTAATTGAAAGTAAATGATTTTCATATCCTGATCATGATTTCCTCTCCCCATTTTTGATTTTCCTGCCATTTCTATCCCTAGTCTGAGTTGTTCTTTCTTCAATTACCTACGAGAATGACTTGAAACATAAATCATGTGTTAACTTATGTTAAAAATTGGACAACCAACACAAATGTATACAAAAATAAATGCACAAATCCTGTTTTCATCAGAACAGAAATGTTTATTGAGAAATAGCTACTGAGTTTGCAGTTTGCTTGTACCCATACACTTTTACAAAGATTGGTTTGCTGAAGGCATGATTACAATGCTTTAGGTTTCTCTGTTCAATTACGATACAGTCTTCTGTCCACTGGGTATAAATGCTACCCTGCCCTGCCGCCTGCAACAACAGCTGCTTCCACATCCTGTTCACAGTGGTGTTGGATTACATTGGGGATCGCTGAAATGCCAGAGGACTGGCTGGGATCCAGAATCTTGGTAGTGGTGATATTATCTGGTCATTTTAGATAAAGCATGACTCCACTTGATGGTGATGAAATATATTCTAAATAACATGGAGTAATTATGACAGATGGGATACCCAAAATATGCCTCAAGCATATGTAATCTGTCACTGCTCTTCTAACCTTTAGTTTGGTTGGGAACCTGAGGACAATTTATCTTCCAGCCAGTTCAATTTGGGTTTTACTTAGTATATTAGGGTATTATTTCACATTGTGTCTGCTTAGGTTTATATGTGATAATAATTTTAATTCTGGTTTGACTGAAGTAAATGTTCAATGAATGCAGTATATCTGTATCTTATTTTTAATTATGCCTTTAAAGTGCTGTTTAAATTTGAGTGTGTGGGTCTCTGTGTGTGTGTGTGTGTGTGTGTGTATGTGCCCATGTTCATGTGGAGAACAGAAGAAAACCACAGGTGTTGATCCATATATGCAATCCACTTTTTTGTTTTATTGTTATTGTTTTTGAGACAGTATCTGTCTTTGGTCTGGAGCTTGCTAATTAGGCCAGTCTAGTCAGCCAATGAGCCCTCTGTCTCCCCCTCCCGTCACCCCTGTGCAGGGATTACAGACACGTACAACTATACCTGACTTTTCCACATGTGCACTGGGGTTGGAACTCATGGTTGTGAGTCAATCATTTTGCTGACTGAGCTATTACTCAGGTCCTCAAAGCAGTTGCTTAAAATTAAATGAAATAGCCTGAACCACACTTTGGGTCACATGCCCCTGGAACCATGACCAGAATGCATTGGGTCATGGAAAGATCAATGCCTGATCTCCAAAGACCTAGCTGGGCAATTGCTAAGAAATCTGCTGATTAGGGACGCCATGGTAATTGTGATCACGTGATTCGTTTCGATACTGCTGATGCAATATTCAGGCTGAAATTAGTAAAAACAAAATAAACAAAAACTACAGAAACACACACTGGTTAGGGCAAAACAAGAAAGACACAACACTGAGAAGAAAGCCCTGAAGTCAGAGTTCAGATAAAGACTTGGCTGCAAGCAGAGATGAAGGAGGCTGCCACAAACCAAACTTCAGACTGTCCTCTTGAGGGATTACAGTTTAGCCAAAAAATGATGGATTTTATGTCCCAAAGCACATGAATCATAAAACATTTGTGCCACAACCACCACAGAGGACAAAATTTTCCCCTGAAAATAATTAACTGGAAATCCCGTGGTAAACTAAAAAAAATGAAATATTAATGTGTTATTGATGAAATATGTGCATTAAGAATATATAACCTAAGTTTAGCTTGTGTGCAACCCATCAGTTCATTACACTGCGTAGATTTGCTGCAGTGTTCATAAGAAAGAGGGTACCAGCAGGGTAGCCAGGAGGTTGGTTTGAAAAACCTCTTTCCCATATATTTTTGGTTTTGTTTCTCTTTCCAGCCACAGTTTGTGCCATCAAGTTGGATTTAAATCTGCCATCCTCAGAAAGAAGCCACTGGAATAATTAAGCCACTTTATTAGCATGTTGTTGTCAAAACAAAAATTAGGTTTTCTTGTTTTTCTGAGGCTAAGACTAATGTGTAAAATAGATTAGTCCGTTTTCAAAACAACTTGAGTATTAATGTGCAGTGGGAATGTGTGGGGATGTTTGTAGAAATGTGGCAGCGGGGAT